GCGCGCGCGCACGCACGCGCACGCACGTACGCACGCACGCACGCACGCACGCACGCACGCACGCACGCACGCAAGCAAGCACGCACGCACGCACGTACGCACGCACGCACGTACGCTGAGCAGGGGTAACGCGTGTTGGTCACAGATGGAGTCTCGTACGAATCACCTGCTAACGTAGCCGCCCGTCACATAGGCATAGTCTTATATCCCATCCTTGGAACGGCATAACGATGTCTCGTGTCCTCTAGATGACTCGCATTCCTTCACTCGGCGTGTGTGAGCACAGGCACTTGGAGCGTTTCAATAAAATATAATGCTAAATAAATACGAAATCTATTTACTACCAAAGTGATAATGTTTCTATACTCTCTTTCATCTATTATTGCCCCTATAAATATATAGTACTATTACTAGTAGTAGTAGTATATATAGTAAATATACACTATATATTTATGTGTCAGTGTGCAGCGGCAGCCATGGCGGCAGCCAGCGTTTGTTGGAGATGAGCATTTGAACGGCATTTGCAGGAAATTGTCGGCAATAATAGGTGAAAGAGAGAGAGAGAGAGAGAGAGATAGAGAGAGTATAGAAACATTAAGACTTTGGCAGTAAATAGATTTCGTATTTATTTAGCATTATATTTTATTGAAACGCTCCAAGTGCCTGTGTGTGTGTGTGTGTGTGTGAGTATAAGCTCTTACGTTAGCAAGCAGTGCAGCACGTCAGCAGCAGCATCTTGCGGCCATCTCTGGTTTGTACCGTGGTTTATACGGACTACTCTGTGCAGCCAAAGAGATATATTAGTATCGACGTTCGAGGGGAGCATATAAGCCTTGCCCAATCCCGCGCCATCTGTGATCATGCATGATAACGCGATGTTTCTATAATAGAGTACTGACACTAATAGCGTTCGCAGGAATCATAAATCCCCATGCGATGAACATTACACAGCCGTAGCCATTAAGTAAGGTTTATCAAAAGAGGCTGAACTTTATATCTGCACATTATAATTGTGACGGTATATATATGTATGAAGTATGTATAAGTAGTATGTATGAAAAGAGAATTCCCGCTAACACACCCCACAAATCAACCCAGGCCAAATGCTACTGGGCGCATGCATACCAGAATCAAATATACCCCGAGTGTGCGCAACAGGTCATATTATAATCGGGTACAAACCATTCAATTCGATTTATTTTGTATCCACTACCGACACGTACTAAAATATTTATATTGGTTTGTGCGGATGATAGGTGGCAGCATGCTCGCGTTATCCAGGTGCATTCTGGTATTCGAATCCTCATATAATTAAGATGAACCTTCGCCCGTTGATACACCCGTTTCCTGTTGTTATCTGTTTTTAATTATTACGTTGTCAACGCATGTCAACCGCTATAGAGTCGTCCGTCCGACAGTTAATGAAGTGACTTTGTTCATGGCCCCAATATTATACTGATGCTCAATAACCTAGCATATGACTAGTTGACTACTGATATGACTAGCATAATATATAACACAGCATATATATATACTGGTGCTAACCCTAAGCCCTAGCGTACGGACCTATAACCTATAAATACCTATAACATACGAGGGGTATCATATATTTTGAGTTTGTTTACGAAATCTGACGCAAATAATTAATTGTTGGTTACATGACAAAAACAGG